GCGCCTATCTAATTATAGTTTGATTTGCAGAAAAGGTGACTTTAAAACCTTCACCGGATATCAATAAATCTCAATTTCTTAATTAAATTAATAGTTTACTTTTAAAGAAGCATGCGTAATAATATGTTATTAACCAGAGGATATATGCGTTACTATTAAAGGACATGTTTACTGTTTAATGTGCTGAAACGTCTAGAACTATTGGCAACGTCGCTGCTAGTCTTCCAGAATGAAACGAGCCGTCCGTCCCACCACCCCTCGCGACGGCCCATGGTCCGTTATAGCGTACTACGTTTAGCTTATTGTGTGTTTGAAGTCGGAATCAAGTCCAAAGTGAACTTTTCAGTGTTTTTCAGTAGTTTTTGTTTTTGTTTAATGTACTTTTGAATCTGCGAATTTTCAATATGGTACGACAGTGTCAAATGTGTGGACAAATAAGCTCAAATTACCCGAATTTGTCTTTCCACATGTAGGTACCTATTGTTTCCGCCGCGCCGTAATCGTACATAGGCATCCCACAAGGGAGCCTCTCACAATTAAAATAATTTCTAATTATATTTGTTGAATTTTGATCTATTAAAACAAGAACGTAGTAGCCGGTAATTGAATTATAATTCGTATCAATTACTACCTAACTGTTGTAGATCATAACAAATTTGAATATAAACGTTATAGTTGAAACTTTATTATAAGCCAGAAAGTGACATTTTTTTCTTAAAATTGCGTCATTATATACGATATTCTAAAGGAATTTTGCTCAATAAATAAACAAAGGTATTTATCCGTCTTTTTTTACATTTTATTGCTTTATTATATCTGCCCCTTTGGCCTTGTTTAGACAATTTTTTACCACCGTACAAATATATCTTCCTAGAGTTATTTGTACGGTGTGTTTAACTTTTTTTAGAATGGGACGAACTGTAAATAATTCTTAGGCTACTAGTTTTATAAATACCTATATAGAGAGTGACCCAGGCCTCCAAAAAAAGCTTTTTACCTATTACGTTTTTGGTTTGTGATTTTATTTCAATTTTTTACATAAGATGGGGGCCATTGTAACGCACATTTTCAAAATATTTTTGTCAACATACAGGGTGACTCAAACCGCAATACATATGCTTAATACAGTTCATGAAGATTAGGACATTTACCTAAAATTTGATTATCTGATGAAGCTACCTTTAAAAGTAATGGATTTGTAAATAAACATAATAGGTATTCATTATTATGCGACAGAAATCCCATACTGTAGCACACAGATTTTATACTTTTATCGATAAATGCCTTCTATTGCGAGACTAAAAAGCAATTGCCTCGTATCAGAGCCATCATAATACAAGAAGAAGACCGAAAGAGTCAAATCTTGTCTTATATTTTCAAAAAAAAACACAATTTTCTCATTAAATATTGATTTTAGGTATAGGAAGTTATTAATAATACAAGATTAAACAACTATTACACAGTACTTCACAGGAAGCTATCGATTGTGAACTAACTAAATCGTTACTAATTAGGTACTAATTTTGACAAGTTCTTTTTAAGATAAAAAAAGGTAAAACTAAAACCTAAACTATCATTTGAGATTAAACAGGTTATAAGTTCTAATTAATGTTGCCTATTCTAAACAAGAAAAATTTATTTATAAGTTAAGTTTTATAACATTCCTAATTAAATTTGGGCGAAAAGAATATTTCTGTTTGCTGTAGGTAATTTTCTCAGGGAAAATACGTAAATAAAAATGACTTTTAAGTCAAAAAAGTCAAAAGGACAAATTATTCCAAAAAGGACTGTCCTTTTCAAAAAGGACAAGTGGCAACCCTAGGTATTTATGGAATGGAAATTTAATGGCAAATCTACAACTTTGGTTTGAAAATATGTTCCGGCCACCTATGTTTACAAAAATGTCTAAAATATGCCTAAATGCCTCCATATTCTGAAAAAAAAAAATTGAAAAGTCACCAACCACAAACCTAATATAGAACTGTTTCGGAAGCCTGAGTCACCCTGTAAATATTCAAAAGTAACTGAAAGTTTATATAGAAGTAACTGAAAGTTTAAATTGAAAATTGACGTTGGAGTGATTTTCGAAAACTACTAACGTTTCAACATAAGTATATGTGGGATATTAATTGTATTATTATATTAGACCTTATAACAAAACTCATCTGATGAAAAAGTGTTAATGTAGTATATTAATATGGAGTAAAAAGTTTACTAATTACTTTACTTTTACTTTACTAATTAAATTCGTTCCAAAAAACGATACGCCACTGGCCATTAGAACAATCCAAATGCGCCTAGTTGCCGGGGTCGGAAATTTTAGACTTCTCTGTCTCTTCTGTCCTTGTTTGGCATATTGGAATGTTTGATACTCTACCAACGAGTATTTATGAATGAGATGTTCGGTCTAACTTTATAATGTCTTTGATTGAAACCAGTGACTTAACACCCTCCAAATGACCACGCTAACCAACCCGCCAAATAACTAAACCAATCCATCCAAAAAGAGTGGAACCGATGCAATAAAATCACGCTATAAGCAAAAAAAATGTATAAAAAAGTTGTGGTCCGGCGTGAGATTTGAACCACGGACGATTCGCTCACGAAACAATGGTCTCAGTCACGGAGCCACAGGTGCTCTTGCAAAAGTGTCTATACCCAGGCGTTACTTTCCGCCGTGGTATAAGTAAGTAGATCAACTTATTGCGAATGCGGAAGCTCGAAAGCCAAAATAGAATTGGTATTTCTAGACACAAGAGAAGATTTGTCGCAGTTGACGGGTCGACCCAATCAATACCTATGTCAGTACTTAAAGTTCTAGGGAAAGGTGTACGTCATGCGTTCAGCTTCACGATTTAATCACGTCTCGTGATACTTAATTTGTTTATTTATTAACGAGTCGTTGTAATTTTCTTTATAGCTTGAATTTTTTTAAGTACAAGCTAGAAACACTTGCATTTTTGGTAAAAATAAGTGGAAGTGAGTGGGTGTTCGATAGTGTAGTAGATCGAAAAAATCGATATCCCGAAATCTATTAGAAATAATAGATTGTAGTTTTTTCAAGAACTTTGTTAATATTTCTGCAGTATTTTCTTTGTAGACAGTATATGTGAACATCTTTATCAATAAAAAAATTACACGATTGCTGAAAATTGCTATGCTCTAAAAGTAAATGGATGGATTGTTTACAATTTTTGAATGGAAAAAACAACCTTATCGAATTTTTCTTATGTAAACATATTGTAAAATATCCGATCTTGAAAATAAAGAAAAATTCAATATCTGAAGTGGTTCTTGAATTATGGCCTGTTATGTGTTAAAAAGTTGAGCTTTTAAATTATCGCAATTACTGACGTTTTCTCATTGTAAAAAAATGGCACCCTAACGATATCCTTATATTTACATTTCAGATGCTCAGAAACTAACATCTCTAATGATTTTATCTAGTTATCTCTTGAAAAAAAGTCTTTTAAAAATAAGCGGTTTGTGATCGTGATTTTACTTTACTTGATAGGGACAGGCGTACCGGCAACGCCGCAACAGCACACCGTCGCATTTCTCTCACTCCGACTTAATAAGATCCCTATGCGATTTACTTCCACACATGTAAATGCCGACCCAAAAGTAACAGTTGCCAGCACGGTATATTTTCCTTTTTCTATGCTTTTTGGATTTTACTTGAAATTATAAACTCATTTAGTATTTATCTAATACTCCATACTTAAGTTTAACCATTTTCAAAATATTTTTAATTTAATTTTAAAATTAGATTTTCAGAGCAGGAGAGCTCTTATGAAGTTTACCCATCTTAAGTCTATTTTTTGAAGTTTCGTGAGAGGGATGCTTTCTAGTATCACAGAATATATATTATAGCTACAGCTATATATTCTGTGGTGGAGAGCAGTGGTTGAGCGAGCTTATACTCACGAAAGATGTGCTAATTTTGGGTACTAAAGTGATACATGGTTCTTTTTGGGTACTAAAGTGATACAGTAAAACAATACCATCATCATCATCATCATTTTCAGCATATTCCACCATTTCCAATTATGGTGTAGGCTCCCTCACATATTAAGATAATATCTTTGTAGTTGGGCCCATTGTTGTCGATTGTTGGCTATGCGGACCCAAGTTATCGCTACTAATTTCCTAATATCATGATCCCATATCAGATTTGGTCTTCTTCCAGGTCTCTTAATTCCTCGTGACCATGCTGTAATTTTTGTAGTCCATCTGTTGTTCGTCCTTCTTGCCAGGTGTCCTACCTATTGCCATTTGAGGGATTTGATTCTGTGGATGACATCGATTATCTGGGTCTTTTGTCGTATCCACTCTATTCTTTTACGGTCTCTCCTGATTATTCCCAGCATATTTCGTTCCATTGAGCACTGTACGATCTGCAGTTTTCTTATGGTGTCCGTTTTAAGTGTCCAAGTTTCGCATGCATAGTTCATGACCGGTAGAACGCATTGGTCGAATGAATTCTTCTTTAGATAGAGTGGCATTATAGATTTGAATATAATTGATTTTCTCCATGCTAACTTTATTCTTCTGTTGATTTTTGGTAGTAGAGATCCCGAAGCTGTTGTTATTTAGCTGTTGTATTTTAGCTGCTGTATTAGTTGTCCCAAATATTTTTCTTTCCACTAGTTCATTGTACATTACTCTAGTTTTTAATAAATTCTTTTTGAGACCCACTTTATTTCTGGCTGTATTTAGTTCATTAATTTGTGCTTATAGTTCTTCAGGACTATTTGCAATTAGAATTGTGTCATCAGCGAATCTTAGATGGTTAAGATATTCTCCATCTATTTTTAATCCTTGGTTGATCCAGTCCAGTTGACAGAAGATTTCTTCTAGTATTGCTGTAAACAGCTTTGGGCATATCGCGTCTCCCTGTCATGCTCCTTTGCCAGTTGGAAACGTTTTTTTTATATATTATCACTCTTGCTTTGGGTTCTTTGTATATATTGGTGAGAGTTTCTATAAAAGACCTGTCAATGCCTTATTTCGCTAAGGCTTTTATTATTGCCCAAGGATATATCGAGTCCAGAGCCTTCTCAAAATCTATAAAGGATATGGCTATTGATATGGTAGTAAAACAATATATTATGTATAATATATAAATACGGTCGTCAATGGGCCTGCCTTTGGTATTAGTATCATTAAGTATTATTAACTCTTTTCCGAAGAACATTGTAGTAAAGCGTCGGATTAAGTGTTTAGGTATATAATAAACACTTCACATTTTTCTCTCTTCGATTTACAAGATCGCCATAGCGATTCAGTCCTACACCATGTAGATACCGACCCAAAAATCTCTCTTGCCGACAGGGTTTATGCACTATTTACCCAAGACAATTACAAAAACACAATAATTACATTATCTGATGCCAAATTGTTTCGAAAAATAAACAAACACTATAAAATACACTAATTATTATTATTAACGGAAGTTATATCCGTTTCTGGAAATAGAACAAACTCTATTAATTAAAGAAAGATAACCAGAAAGACTTATTTTTTTAAAAGCTGAACCATCTAAAACATCAAGACGGACTGATTAATTAGGTTTCTGACGAACTGAATCTATTTTTAATGCCGAAAATAGCGTATTAAATCTAGAAAAGAGCTTATTCTTCCACAATTAGCTCTAAACGTGCCTGTTTCGCTCATAAATTTCGAAAAGACTTTCGCCAGCACCTCAGCTTCGATGCCTCTTTTGAAGTTTATCCATTTCAAGTCGCGTCCGACCGCCAAAAAGGATCACGTGACCGCAATTATTCTAATTTTATGCCTCATCCAGCACGGTAAATAACACTCTAAATCGCTCACACTTCGTCGTAATGACATCACTGGAGCTTCTGTTCTAAAGTTGTTTTGAATGAATCATTTTTATATGCTCTCGCATGACAAGCCACTAAAAGCGTCCTGTCACAGACGTAATATAGATTTATAGGGGTATTTTTATAGGCCGGAGGAATTAGGCTGCATTACACGATATAAATAGTGCCGGGTCGGTAATTGGGAAGTTTCGACCGGGAATGACGAGATTATATTCGACAGTGAAGCGTAAAGTTTTCAGTTACTCTGTGTTGGTTAGGGCTGAATTATAGTATTATCATATTATTTTTAGGAAGATTTAGTATATTAAGGGCTGGCAAAGGTTAGTCTTGGGTCGAGATTTCCGTATGTAAGAAGAGTACAATGCGTTTATAATGTACTGAACAAAGAGAGAACAGTAAAAACGTTGCCAAACGTATGAAATAAACCGATAAACTGTGCACATTGCTAAAAGATGTAGAGGGGGATATATCAGATTTGTCGCGGTCGACCGGTCGACCCAATCAGTACCATATCAGTACTTAAAATTCTAGGGAAGAGTGTACATGATGCGTTCAGCTTCACGGTTTAATTACATCTCGTGATACTTTATTTGTTTATTTGTTAACGAGTCGTTGTAATTTTCCCTATAGCTTGTAAATTTTAAAGTGCGAGTTAGAATCATTTGCATTTTGGTAAAAATAAGTGGAATTGAGTTGGTGTTCGACAGTGGTCGCGCTATTAGAACTCTGAATTCGAAAATCGATATCTCGAAATCCATAATCTATTTTAATTATAATTTAATAACATTAATCTTTTAATTTTGATAAACAAACATAACCTCCCCACCATTATTTGTAAAACTTATTATTTATCAGAACGGTTATTTAATAACTCTCGAAACCTAATTCGTTGTCATCGTCTATATGAATTAAAAATCGACCCCAAAGTACTCGAGTACACGCGTCCCCATGGTGATTATTTTTTAGAATGGCATGACAAAAACGCGTTCGGTTTCTAAAAACACCGACAGCACGGACGGTGTCGCCCTTTAATATTATGCTAATGGATTTTAAAACTTCCTCTGGTAAAATGGGCTCTCACAAAAGAAACACACAGGCGTAGTCCGAAAATTATACTAAGTTTAGTATCATTTAAAAGACTTAGCTTTTCTGTGGCTGAAAAGCCCGATACGTGATGTTATCTCCCTCCCGCACTCCGGACATTCAAACATCTCATTGCTTCGTTGCCTCTTTACTTTTTGGTTGTGGCTGTTAACTGAAAGAAAATAACACATTATGGTTTTACAGAAGGAAGACTTTTTCAATTAATAACTTTCAATTGCCAATAACTATCATAAGCCATATGTGTGTGTGTATCTTAGCCATATGTGTCATTCTTTCAGTTAACAGCGACAACCAAAAAGTAAAGAGGCAACAAAGCAATGAGTTGTTTGAATGTCCGAAGTGCGGGAGAGAGATAACATCACGTATCGGGCTTTCAGTCGCACAAAAGCTCATAAAAGAAAACGCCTTGCGTATCCATCTTCTGATGAGTGTTGAATACTCGTCAGCGAGTAATGGCAGTAGTGTCTAACTTTTTATTTACTTTCCCTAAAGTGTTTTGGTTCTTCTTATTTAAAATTAATAGTGTTCATAAAGTGAGACGTAATCACAGAAGGATCAGACGTAATCAGACAAGGATGTATATTATCGCCACTTCTGTTTAATTTATATTCTGAATCGATATTCCAGGAGGCGTTGGAAGATTTAGAAGTGGGAATAATGATAAATGGTAAACCTATTAATAACATCCGATATGCTGACGATACGGCGCTCCTAGCTGGCAATGAGAAGGATTTGCAGTGCCTAGTGGACAGAGTTAGCAGTATTAGTCAGAGTCATGGTCTTAAAATAAATATAAACAAAACAAAATTTATGATTATCAGCAAACAAAATATCGAAAATATCAGGATACAAGTGGAAGATCAAAATATAGAAAGGATAAGAAGATTTAAGTACTTGGGTTGCTGGCTGGCTGATAAATGGGATCCTGATGAAGAAATCAAACATAGAATTGAAATAGCCAGAAATACTTTTTTCAAAATAAAAACTCTACTCTGCAACCGAGACCTGAATCTGACTACTCGATAGCGAGCTACCAAATGCTATGTACTCTCTACATTGTTATACGGAGTCGAGGGATGGACGTTGAAGGCACGGACCATGTCACGCTTGGATTCATTTGAGATGTGGTTATACCGACGAATGTTGAAAATATCCTGGACCGAACGAATAACAAATCTCGAAGTATTAGAAAGAATGTGTAAGGACCAAGAACTATTAACTACAATAAAACGACGGAAAGCAGCATATTTTGGTCATATTTTTCGAAATAACAAATATAGTTTCCTACAGCTGATCGTTGAGGGAAAGATTGAAGGACGACGAGGCATCGGGCGTAAACGGTTTTCCTGGTTGCGGAATTTGCGCCAGTGGTTTAATATAGGAGAGGCCAGTGCAATTATCCGTTTGGCTCAAGACAGGGAGGAATTCCAATTGATGGTCGCCAACCTCCAATGAGGAGAAGGCACACGAAGAAGAATCACAGAAACGTGCCTAGAAAAGAATATAGTACCTTTCCTCTTCTTCTGAGTGTGCCTATCCGATCCGGACGCTGGCGATAAGCAAAGGGATTCGAAGAAAGGGAAAAAGAAGTAGTCTTCTGTAGAAAGGGAAAAAGGAGTTCTGAGGTTTTTCAACCAAGAAATTCTGCGCCTTCCAGGTTCCAGATCCTCTTTTGCCTAAGACCCTTCTCTGGAGTATTCAACTGAAGTAGTATCTTTTGGTTCCTCATTATATCTCCCAGTAAAGGTACTATCCTTTACAGCAAAAAATCGCCCTATACGTGACAGGAAACATTTTAGACCGAAATCGGTGATCTAGATCATTTATGGCAGGATGAACAAAGAATCGTTTTTAATTTTGTTAAGCTCATTATTTTTTTATTTGAAAAATTGCCATGTCACAAGGAGATGTGAAAAAAGTGTTTAAGAAGTGGGAAAAAGTATTGTAATTCTTGGATTATGTATTTATAAAATGTTTGGTGTATTGTGGTGAATTAGTGTTTTATTTTGCTGTTGTAGCATCAAAAGTTCCAACCCTCAACTATAAACTGTAATATAAATTTAGGTTACCCTAATTAGGTTCAACATCTGACAAAGTAAGACACTTAAAATCGAGTTAAAACAACATTATACTCCAAATACACATTTTATGTATTCGTTGTTACATAATCAGAGATGTAATAATGTATGCTACCGAAAGGTGTAAATGTAGAAGATTTAGTTCTCGTTATTTTTAATTAAACTTAAAAGGAGTGTGTTTTTATACTGAAATAAATAAATTAATCATAATGGCGTAACTAGTATCTCTGCACTTTACAATACAGGGTATTTTGTTCACACTTTTTCTAAAATGTTCACCCCTTTTAGGCAATTTTTTACTTGTTAGTGGTATTTTCTCGTATGAATATTTAAAAGTATAAGTGATGGAGGAAGTGGCAATATTGCATTCGTTTTAGTGTCGTAACCATGGTAATATCAGAGATTACAAAAAGATACTGTGGGAAAATTTGCGGTGACCAGGCAGCTCTAAAAAGTTTCCGAAAATTATACATGGAAATTTAAAAGAAAATGCACGATTTTCAATATCTTTTTTTGCAAAAAAAATCATCGATGTGTTCTGGGGTCGAAATATACCACCCTGAAAATATTTGCACTTATTTAAGACTCACCCTGTATAGATGCCTGCCTGTCATTTATTAACGCTATATGAAACTCCATGAAAGTACACTTAATTAATATGAATGAAGGTATAATAAAGAAAACTCCAACACGCCAAACGCACGTTCATTAACATAAAAGAAATATTCAAACGAAGACGTTCCGCCACTGTGCACTTGTACTTCATAACAAGGTGGGTGAGAGGCATTCCTAGGTGCGACCTCTAAGGGCAGGTAATACGCAAATACAAGTTAAATTTTATGTAAATAAATAGTTCGGGGAGGTTTCGTCGAGGTATATATTCGTCGCTTGTACGCTTTACATGTGACAGCGGTTTTTTATGGCCGTTTAGGACCGTTTCGGTTTAAAATAAACGATTATATGTATAAACTCCTGTGTGTTTTATAGTAAAACTGGACGTTTTTATTTCGCTCTGGGTAAACAGATTCTTTCTCTGATAAGATTTCCTTTAAGATGTAGTAGCTAGTTTTCGTGAAGTTGAATAAATATACACGTCAGTCTTTTTTCCAAACTAAACAAACCAATGCGTACTTCTGAACAAATACTGAGTGTCAGTCATACAGTTAGGTACTGCCGACGACAGTATCTTAACGCATCCTATATAAGTATGATGTAAATATGTATGATTAAACAACTTATAATATTTATAATTTCTACTTTCTTTCTTCGTTTTCCATTTTTATGTGACTTAAAATTTCCATGTCTTTTTTCTGTCCCTGACAGTCAAAGAAATAAGCCATTCGATTGAAGTTTGGAATTTTTTCGTCTATAATTTATATCAGTAACTTTTAAGAGCCCTTTTTTTGCACTAAACTCTAGATCAGGAAAAACAGACCGTCCAATGTAAAAACAGATAGGAGCATAGGCATAGGAAGGCCTTCATCCAAGGAACTAATTCTAAAATCGCAAATAAATTACTAATAGTCAGGAGGATTACAACAGGTCTCTTAACAGGGCATATGGCTATCAAGTGCTACCTGAATAAGCTCAATCTGTATCAAGGAAGTCTTTGCTGCAAACTCTGCGATAAAGATCCTGACACAGCAGAGCATATAGTATATCGCTGTGAGGCTCTTGATGCCCAGCGACACATTCTATTTGAAAAGGTAATGCTAGAACTGGAGGAACTATAATCCCATCCTATCAAGGACCTGCACAAGCTAGTGCAGGACCCAGGGGACTGGATGCAGCTGCAGATATAGAGAGGGTACAAACAATAAGCCACAAGTCATAGTTACCGGCAAAGACGTCCCCCTAATGTTGGGGAAAAAAGAGCCCTTTTCATATTATCTTCCCAATAATATAATCTAAATAATAATAAAAAAATAATAGATTAGATACTAAAATTTAGCGGTTACTGTAGAGATAGTATACTGGCTAAAATCAGGGATCTGTAACACTTCCTGTACTTACTAATTTTTATGCCGGTTCATTGGCGTGATTCAACATTCTTGTTTGATAGATTTGTTTGCTTAGCAACCTCATCTTTTCCTGTATATATTTTTAGATCATCATAAGTGTGATTGTTTCTTGAGTAGTTTACCGGGTATCACACACTTTACAATACGTATGACGTGCGTGTAATTTTATTTTTTCAGATAAAAAAACAAGATTTGGTATGTCAGTATATGACATAAATTAGGATTGATGATGTATTCAGTTGTTTTTGGTCACTTCCTGTTTCAACGCAAATGTCTACAACTTTTGATTTTTAAATGGCCCCTCGGTATATTTTTACTTTATTGGATAGAAAATGACACTCTAATAGAATGACATTTATAATATGTCAACTTCTGACATTATTGCTTAAAAACAAATCGTATTTTAAATTTCAATCTAGAGTGCTAGGCTGTGCTAAAAACACTAATTTTTAATCAAGAAGCTTTGGAAAAATATATTTGATAGCTTAATGTTTTTCGTGTCTTGCCCTGGTTGGTTTAAAGATGCCCAAATCGTATTTTTAATCATATCTTATTTTTTTCAAATGGAACAGGAGTGCCTCATTAGCATATTTGGAAAAAGTCTTTTTTAGGAATAATTTGGAATCACACACTTGATATTTCGGGTCAAATTGTCGTTATGAACCGCATGTTACAATTTCAAATAAACCATAAGCGAAAATGTCAAAAGTTGACTATGATATGTCACTCTATTCAAAGTGTCATTTTCTATCGGATAAAGTAGAAATATACCGAGGAATTGACCATATAAAAATCAAAAGTTGTAGTCATTTCCGGTGAAACAAGTAGCCGAAAAGAATTGAATACGCCAATCAATCCTAATTTATGCCATATAAAAAAAATACAAAATAAAAAAGTTATAGGGGTGAGCCACTTTTGAGACGCACACGGTATAACCGGGGATTTAATATTTTATACTATAGGAATTTTTAATAACATACACAGAAATTGAAAAATGCTATAAAAAAAAACTGATATGGAAATAATTATAACGTGCAAGTTATGACTGCATTGTTCATTGAAAAGATACGATAAATTAGTATAACAACTTATCTACCTGTTTCGGATGGAATGTTAAAATGTAATTAAATAAAAATATTTTACGTGAAATGACAAATAAAGGAAGCTATAAAAAGTGTAACAATGAATTTGTAGCCCTTCTTTTTCTTTTCATATATAATAGATACTCTAGTAGTAGATAAAAGTCTCCCCAATACAGTACGCTTTAGGAGTAGCAAAGTACAACTTCAAATACTAGACCAATTGGTATACAAACAAACAACGCTTTATTGTACAAAAAGCCAAAATAGCTTCATCGACAAAGCACTCACAAACAACAAAATCACAAAAAAATACAAACAACAAAAAATATACAATACAAATAATACAATTCAAAAAAATTTAAGTATTTAAAATTACAAAAAGAATATACATGGACAATTTTAGAACAGTACGCAGTAAATAGATATAATTTTGGAGTTATAAAATATTAAATAGTTGATCTTTGACCAGTGTGTGAGATAATCAAAATTTTAAAATTCAAAATTGTTCATAATTAAACATCAACAAAAAAGTCGTTTACAGCATATAGGGCTCTCTCCAGTAAGTATGATTTTAGAGCTTTGAGAAATGCGGGAAAGAATGAAAGCGACTTGATATTCAAAGGCAGATGATTGTACAGTTTTCTGGCATTGTACAGTATTGAACCTTTAAGTAGTTCTGAGCTCGGGGTTGGCAGATAAAGATCGTGCTCTGCATTCCTAAGTGGATAGTTATGAGATGGCCTTTCGGGAATAGCAGATATGTGCTTGCGGATTAAGCAGACGGATTCAAAAATGAATAAAGAAGGAAGAGTCAGTATTTTCAAATTTTTAAACAAATTCTGGCA